TATAGGGGAATCCTTGTTTACAATATTTGCCTCATTAGCATAAGCAATTCAGTTTCTGATGGAGCTAAAAATAAATCAGTTCTGAATATCGAAAGGTCAAAGTACGATTAACTCGGCCAATGAATACGAGCCTGATGCATTGAATACTTTTTGTGCAACACGGGTTTAAAAACTCAAAATTTTACATAGAATGTGTGAGCTCATTAGCGCTTTTGCCACCCAGAAATTTTGCAGTTTTTGATGGACTATTTCTCCTTGAATATTACACCCAAAGAGCTAAAAATTTCACCATGTACTGAGGTTTACTAGCTCTTTAGCTGCCTGAAGTCAATTTGTATCTAACATGCTTCCTTCTTTACGCAAAGCCGTATGCAAATGAGCAAAAATGTAAACAATGACGTCAGCATGAATCCGCCTATACCGGTGGCTTCCTACATTGCATGTCAGTTTCTCAAAGTATGATTGCTCTGGGATTTTAGCAGATTTTAATCCTGACTTTTTTTTAAAAAAAAAAACTTTATTGACCATTACACATATTACATACAGCAAATTAGATGACCTAAAAAAAATGGGATATATGTACAAAGTGATTTAAAGTGACAAGGAAGAAAGGTCAAAAGGGTTGGTGTGAACGGGACACGAGGACCCATGCAAGGCACTGCCCATGACTGCCACAGTGTAAATATTTTCAGGTTGCTCCAATTGCAATTTATAATTGCAGCATTCATACAATCATTTCAAGTTTTGTGTACAACTGTCCCATAGTATTAAAAACGTTTTACAAGTACTTGCCATGTAAAATGCAGAAGACTTGCCTTTAAATAATAAGCTGAATTACGCATGCATTTTGATTGGTTCTTATTTATGATAAATTAGAGGACAGACATCACCACTGACAATGTTTTGCCTCTTTACCAATTAAAACAAATAGATTCTGGGTTGCCCTGGGCCTGTACAGTAAAAGATCAAAGACGACGTCAGACTGTGGCAAGAACATTAGTGACATACAAACCACTTTTCTGTTCTTGCCACATTTTTATGTCATTTGTGACTATTACTGAACAGACAAACAGCATCATAAAAACTGTTTGTTAAATAGAGCACATTGTATGTTATACATGTACAAAATAAGGTCTATCATAAAAGTGCTTCCATCTTTCTTATCATATCTACACTAAGTCAAACAAACTTGTATTCAAGAGTAAGTTAAACATTTTATTCAAGTAAGATGAACAGGTCAACAGAAAAATCTCTACAAGCACCTGAGTGACTCCAGGTGGAAACTTGTCAAACTTAAGAGCCCCACACAAATGGTATCTACAACCAAGAAAGAAATTGTCTTTAGGTGAATGTATAAATATATAAATAATTTTACAGGATATTAAGATAAACACACTGTATAGGCAGCAATATCAGTGAGAATTATTCAGGATAACTGCAAAAATCTAAACTGTAAAAGGTTCATCTCAAAATTGTCCCACACCTGCATGGTATGGCTTTGGCAGTTTACTATAAAATAAACAAATTAATAAATCCATTTACAACTAAATATGGTGACCCCTAACATTCTTTAATTGTTGCATGACAATTAAGTTCTAGAATATTATTCTCGAGTTATTGCGTGACATTTAGCTCTTAGAGGGGGATTTCACAATTCCTCCTCATGGTAAACACTTGCCTTTGAGCACAGAGTTTTTATTCCAGCGTTGTTGTTGTTGTTGGTGTTCATCTATTTTGTACACTAAATAACCTTGAACAGTGTTTGAATTTGCCTCAACTTACGCTTGTGGAGTTATGACTGGTAACCTAGGAGTGTTTGGAGTCACTTGAACTTTGAGGGAGTTAAAAAAGAAGTGCTCTTTGCTTGCCTGCAAATGTTAAAACTTTATTAACAAAGACATTCTGCTTTGACTCTACATTGACATAATAGAGTACATGGTTTCAACCATGGAGTAAAATTTGGTCATAAAGAGAAACTACCTGGCTTGGGGTAATTCTGAAAAACTTTTGTTCAAAGACCAAAGTTTTGACAGTTTGAATAGAGGCCATTATCTGATTCAAGGGCTGTTGTCAATGGCAATGACTGGTACATGTATCTCCAGTTCTAAATCAATCTGAGCGGTAGACTTCTTCTGGCATTATCAATACACAGACAAACTTCCTTTGAAAAAGGATGAACTACCTGATTGATCACACCTCTTGCATTATAACAAACAGTAAGGCATGTACAAAGTGATTAACAACATTATGGTACTCAGCTCTGCACAATTTTGGTAAACATTTATTATCATCTCACCTGAAGAGTGTAAGTTCCAGCTGTGACATTGTTTAAAACATAAACACCTTCTGACGTTGTCTTTGCAGTAATTCCCTCACCAGCTGCTATGCTAACATCTGCAATACCTTGTCCCTACAAAATTGTCATTCATACACATACAAGTCATGAACATTGCCTGTGTATAGCTTTGAGCACATGTACACCTGTAAACTGCTTGAGAAAAATCTTCCTTTTTCCCTTCTAAGGAGGGATACTGTCTTACCTCTGCTGTGTGAACTTGACCAGTAACAGAAAATCCATGCACTTGGAATGGAGTCTGTACACAGGTAAAATAAAAAAAGGTGTTAATTAGAGGTTTAGACTACAAAATTAATATAATGGCTTGGTTAATCCATTACCTGTGAATCACCTGTACCTACACCACCCTTGAATTCAATGCATCAAAATTGTCTTCAGTAAAAAACAGCTGTCCCAATAAAGTATTGCAGTAAACACAACTGAATGATTCTTGAAAACAGAGACTACAATTTCTCAAAAATTCAATCTTATGTTGTCTGTAATCATGAAGAGAAGTGTCTACTTAGTGATACAGAGTTCATATCAGAAAATGTTACGATTTATCAGAAAATGTTATGATTTATCAGAAACAGCTGTTCATAAACATAACATTTGTTCATGTCCTCACCTTTAACACAACACTTTTGTAATTGACAGAGAAAGTAAGCTTTGAGGGAACCACATCAAATGTTATGAGTTCTCCTTGGTAATAAGGAACCTATAAAAACAGGTATAACAACAGAAAGAATTCATGTACATGTGAATCAACCATTAATAATACAATGCAGATTGTCCCACTGCAGAAATCTTAAGGTTTTAATTCTTCATGGGGACTCTGAGAATTTTTTGTTGTCCCATGCTTGTGAAAACAAACAAAAAAAAAATTTCTCTACGAATCATTTTGTCATTACCAGTGTGTATTCTCCACTTGGAATGCTAGGGAAGACAAACAGCCCATCAACACCAGACTTGACCCGGCACAGAGGTGCATCAACCTCCATTTTCTTTTTAATGATCTCTATTACATCAGGAGGGATCTCTTCACAACCTGGAAAACTCTGAAAAAAAAAGTGAAAATTTTTTTTTTTAATTGATAGAAAATCATCAGTTTGGAGACACATGCAGCACAGACACTTTGCTGACAATTAACACTTATAAAATCAAAGGTACTTTTTGCAAAGTCTGGTATCTCATACACAGCTGTACATTTCCACCAAACAAGTAGCATATTTGGGGCTGCTTGAATCACAACTTGCATTTTTAAGTGAGTCTTTTGTATAACTAAAGCGCTGGTTGCTTGGAATTCACATTTCATAAACTAACAAAAGAATTGATTGTAACATGTGCATATATGGGTTTCAAAACAAACTGGCAACCACCAGAGTTCAGCCAGCCACCTGATAACATGTCGCTGGTTACTCCTGGTCGAAATTATTACTTTTGGGCCTTAGGAACTTTTCACAGTCACCTACTTTTTCAGAGTCTGATGCCTGCTTCAAAGAATTTTAAAACTCTCGACATAACATGAAAACTTAAAAAAAGTAAGCTATAAACAAACTACAAGCAAGGCTTGAGGTTATTATCTTGTAAACAAGTCCTGCCCCATATCAGATCCACTTTTTTAATACCTTTTGGTTTACAGATTTCGAGAACAGAAGAAAGCCAACATCTTGAATAGGTTCACCATCACTCAAAACATGACCCTTGAAAAAAAAACAAAAAACAATTATTGATACTTTTAATTCACATACATACATGCAGGTCCAATAACTCTAGTATGGTGTAATCAGGTACAGCATGTGACCTACACAGTACTTTACCACAATAGCAGTAATATTGCAATCTGATCAGCCAATTTGCCATGTTTGATAAGAGTAAAGACAGCACTGCTTGCATCATCGCATCATGCAATGGTCATGAACTCAAAGAATCGATTTATTTGAAATTGATATTGTGGCTAAATTGCCACTAAGAATACAGACTACGCTAAACCACTGTCAACTTTCTAAACTCACATGAATTATTTGCACTCACTTTTACATCATATCCTGAAACTACTATCTTGTCAACAACATCAACATTGCTGGACTCCACTGTAACCTCTGCTTCAGCCTGGTGAATTTAAAAAAAAAAAAAAAAATCATGAAAGAGTTAGTTGAGTAAAACATTTACATTATTTATGTATGTCAATTTCTATTTCAAATGTGCCAACCCAGCTCCAGAGATTGCTTGCCCTCCTTCAAACAAAATCAGCTAAGTTTGCATACTGAAAGTTTTAACGCTTTCATTCCCAAGATCTGTTTTTTATTTCTTCATATTGCCTGCCACACACCACTTATAGTTTTGGTTCTTAGAATTTAGTGTTGAATCACATGACAATCCCCTAATTGATATTTATGTATATTCTTATTACTTGTCTACTTGATATTGTATTGATATTGTGAGGAGAAAGTATTTTTTGGTCACTGCTAGGAGTGAAAGTTTTGACTGGTATACGTATGTAAAGAATGTCACTTTATCTCTGGATACAGCTCTCCAAACTCAACTCAACTGAAGCATGATTTACTAGTGCAGTATTGTTTAAACAGAAATGTCCCAATAAAAGTGAGATGCAGTAACAAGTAAGCTGCTTTTTAGCCAAAGGTTGTATTTTCAGAATCCAGGTGGAAAAATGAGCAAATTTTTTTCATGGTTGTGACAATTTAAGACTTGTAAAGTCAAAAGCCACCTTGTCCTTCCTTTTCTTTCCCTGCACACCAGCAATTTACCACTTTTACTTGTTGTACATTGTCTACTTACATTTTCAAAAGTCCATGAGGAGTGGGTTGCTTTTACTTGGTATTTGCCAGGCATGACACGAGAAAAACTGAAACTTTTGATCAGTGTTAAATACATCAGAGTTGTAACCCCAACAAATCTTTTATTGCTCAAACAAAGAGGTATTACAATGAAATAATAATAAAATTATTTAAAATTAACAGGCAATTTTCAAAGAAAGGTGATATTATCTATTCTATTTCTCAAGAAAATTAAAAAGCTTTTGATAATCATTGCCAAGTCAGTTTTGGATAATAATAATGAATTAAGGCTGATGGTTTCGAAAGAAACTGTTTGGGGCTGCGTCGGTGGGAGTAACGAAATAATTTGGAAATATCAACAAAGTTGAAGGGGTAAATTGGCCACTTTAACGATTACAAAAGCTGACGTTTCAAGCGTTAGCCCTTCGTCNACATGTAAACTACTGACAGAGTGACTTTTCACATAGAAGTAAAACAAACCTGCTGATTCCTGAAGAGAAATTTCCACCCCAGACGGTCCAAGTTCTCTACCATTACTAACAACCTATTTACCAAAGCTTCAATTAACAATGTGTCATGTGAATAACAATTAACAGTTTGCCTTACTTTCAGGAATCTAAAAGGTGGCCATCAAATACTTAATGAAGGCTTGTAATTACTTCCCAGCTGATGCCAATCAAGTTGTCCTTTTTTAACCTATTTTTGCTTGGACACAACCCATTTTTGGCCAGACAAGTAGCCATTTTGTCAAATTTCAATAAACTCTCCCTTTCTTATAAAAAAAAGTATGTTCACCAGCCTCAAGCTCAATGCAGTAAGAGTGGTACAGCCATATTTAAACTTGAACTTAGCTTCAAATTAAATGCTATTTTAACATGCTTAAAAACAGGTGGCCCTTCAAGAACTACCAACAGATTACACAATCAATTGATAAGAATGTAAGACAAACCTTTCCAGAGAGTGTGAAACCAGTAAAAATAAAGTTTATGTCTTCTCCTTTGCTACATTTATCTGTGGTTCCATCTATATTTAATTCCACACTGTTTGGATCTGCAAGGAAAAGAAGAATTACTAAGTACCTCCTGGCTACTAATTTAAACACTCTTAGTTTAACTGATCAAACAGTGAAGACAGAAATTAGGATGTAACTTCAACTTTCTCACCAAAACTCCAACCAACAGGAGGCTCAATTTTCAACACAAATGTTCCCTGAAATGTGTGATATAAAATGCATCAGTTGTAAACATAAATTACTACAATCACCGTCAGAAATACCGAAAAAAAAAAAATGGTGATTTCATAGTTGAATTTTAGTGACTCATTTTGTTTGATCAAATAGGCGCAATTAATTTTATACACATATCAGAATCTTTCCATAGTATCCAGATGGAGGCAAGTCAACCTGCTTGACTTCTCTTGGCCAGTGGGATTCAGAGCTCAAGCATGAAATAGAGGCAGGTGATCAGCCAATTGAAGATGATGCCCAAACTCTAGAATCCTACAGCATCCAGAAAAAAGCAACAGAAGGACATGTACCTCGGAACACAATAATTACCTTGTCATACAATGGAATAAGAAAGTAGCCATTGTTCGGTGCACATTCTGTTTGAGACTTGATGATCCCCTGCTTGGTTAAAAGCTTCATCTAACAACAATTGAAAAAAAAAAAAACAGGTGATTAAAATGCAACTTCTCTTTAGAATGTCCTTACATTGTGTGCAAATAGGTAGCAAGAATACTCAAACTTGTCAGCACAAGGTATTATCTTGACCTTATACCAAATCCTTGTAAGTGATTTATGTGATTTATGTGGCTCTGAGGGATTTCACAATTTGAGAGTGCAGCATAAAGCTTGTGACTAAGCTTTAAATGGGTGCAAAAGATTGTGCCTAATCATTATTACTACTTCCAAGATGTATTTTTTTTTAATAGAGAATTTAACATCATTGCCAACTGGACTGACATGAGAGCTGCTACAGTATACATATAGCTTCTAATTGTCTCAATTGCCTTTTTCTTGATCTTTCCTCTTCCCTCTCATTGACTATACATGACAAATACATTAAAACACCTTTTGGGGTAGCCCTTTTTCTTGCCCCCCTTTTGAAATGGGGCCCCCTTGAAACTGAGGTGGGACCCTCCCTGGTTGATTGATTTCATATTTGTATTTACTTTTCTATCTGCTTATGTAAAGGATGTGCTCTCTTCTTAGCTGTGTTTTTCAATTTCAATGGTTACCCTCATAGGAGATCTTTCAGTTTTTCTCTATCAAGGCCAAGGCTTTTTAAGTTTCCCTGTTTTTTTTTTTTTTTCAATTTTTTTTTTAAGTTTTAAATCCAATTACCATTTTTATCATCACTACTATTATCATTAGCACTACCACTATTATATATATCTTATCAGATGTTTTTGTGTGTAGTATCACTGAGTATTTTCAATGAGTTGTGCAGTATTTTGACGAGCCAGTAGGGCAAGTGAAAATACAAACAAAAAGTCAAAATACGAAACACTGCTACAAACCAAAATGTCTAATAAGTTATTTACCATCCATCTGTTTTTTTCTTCTGGGAAAAGCAAAGCAGATAGATAAGTGTAGCATGTACAGCTGACACTTGTTGATGTACCAAACGGTGATAATGTAGAAAAAATATGGGCTAGTTCATCTCACTGATATGTGGACTGCTACTGACAGTAAGACAGAAAGTTACAATGGGTAACTTAAAAATTTAATTTAGAGCCCACACATGTACCTATACAAATGATAAAACCTTATCACATGAAAACCACGCCACAACACCTTTCGTAACAATTCTTTTTGGGCGAGTCGTTCTTCCGTCTCCGATTAAGATCCTCATTTGATCTCTAAAGATATTATCTACGAGAGGTATTTCAAATAATACTTATTAAGTGTTTCGTGACTAAAGAACAACACCATGTTTCAATAACGGTCCAGTATGTAAATTAAATTAAAATCTGTCTTTACGGACAGGAATAAATTAAGAGAATTATAGGAGCTTAAGAGCAGTTCAAAATAGAGGGGTTCCTTTTCTAGCTTAAAAAAATTGAGGGTCAAATTCGAAATACCAAAAACAATTCTAAAAAATCCAAAACACGCACGAGTATTCCACTGATGAATCTCAAATTAAAGTGAACGTTTCAATCGATCGACAGCCGGCATGCCTGTTCGCACCTGTATCAGGGAGTAGTTTATATCCACGTCTGATTGAACAAATCCTCCGCAACCAACTACATCTTGAGCTTGCGTTGATGACGAGTAGGTAAATACAACGATAAGTGCCGAGAAAAGAATCAGGTGAGGACACGAGAATACTTTGCTTCTTAACGCCGATGTTGGTGAAGCCGCCATGCTTGAAATAAGGATGCGGTATGATTAGCCTGGTTATATGGCTTTGAATGTCTCTTACACGACATAATAACTTACGTTCGTTCCCAGTCGGTCCGAGCGAAATCAAGGAATTAATATTTTTTTAGACCAACAGTTGTCTGCCCTTTTAATTAATGTGCGGTTTTCAGTTAGTTAAAAGTGCTTTTAAGGTCAGTTGATTGCATTACCCAGCCAGTATCTGAGAGGTGCAGATTCGAATCAAGTCGAAGCCCGTGTTACTTATACGATCGCACCCCAGTGACCCCACCTGCAAAGATTTTTCTTTCCCAGTTTATTTTATGCGAAAGCCAACATATAGTTTATTTCATTAAATCATGAATTTTGGAAGAGTTGAGTTTTTTCACATATGCGAATAGTTAAACTAACGAATGATCTTCGATAGAAAAACTTAAAAATGGAAAACTATGGAACAACCCTCCCCCACACCATTTCCTATCATGGAGTCGCATGAGTAAAATTAACCTTAAGCGTAGCTCCAGTTATTTAGCTATAGCTGCTCTTCAATCATGTCAGTCTGTCAAAAGTTCCCAAGCGAGAAATAGTTTTGTATGCCAACGTAGGGACAGACGTACAACCATTATGCAACAACCAAATTTCATCGGCTTTAGGAGTTATATTTTTCTTGATATGGCGCTCCGCAGTCGCGCCTCACGCTATTGTTCAAACTGATGAATAGACTTTGATAAGTTAGATTAAATTGTGAAACAGTTGCTTTACGGCTGTGCGAATTTGACGATCTCTCCAGCAATACATTAAGGGATTCAGGGTCGAGTTTAAGTGGATTAACGTGACTGTTGGGATGAGTACACGAGGGGAGATGGCATCCAAAGCGCCCAACATGTTCAAGTGAATGTATAACGAGTAGGGCAAATAACATAGAAAAAGAATGATGCATACAAGAAATGTGTTCAAAGCCGATTTCTTGAGACTTAGCACACTATAAATGTTTCCATTACTTTCTTGCTGTAGTTGTGGTTGTTGTTGTTGTTGAATCTGCCTTCGATGGCGTTGAACAACGCAGTACACTTTATAATAAACGACAAAGTTTGCCACAAGAAGATGGATAAAGATCGCGGGTTGAAGTAAATGAAAGAAATGTCCCATCCATAGTTTTGAGGTTGCAATAACAGCAGAGAGAAGCCAAATAAAACTCACGACCCACTTGACGCGAAAAGGCGTCACCACTTGAACATATCTCAAATGGAGTTGGAGAGCAAGCAGACGGTCGACTCCAATCGCTGTAATGGTCATCAGTGAAGGTGTGGACAAAAAGATAGCCAAAACATGAAACGGTTCAGAATCGATAGGAACGAGTAAGTAAACGACAAACATAGGCTGAATAACCAAACCAATAGCCAGGTCTGATACAGCAAGACTTGACAGTAAAATATTCGATGCCGAATGCAAAGAAGGCGTTCTCAAAATGGTTATCAGAATCACAGAGTTCCCGAACAGAGTGGTAACTATGAGAATAACAGTGGTAACACACCCTGTTAAACTACTTTGGCTAGTATTGGTAACGATTTGATCATCATTCGCAGATTGACTCGTGCTCGTGTCCATGGTATAAACAACTGAGAGCTCTCCCAATGAGAAATATGGCGTCTTGCGGTTCTGCTGTTCTCTTCTTATCACCAAACAGTATAATACGGCAATAATATAAATCTATATTTACTTAATATCGATCAAAAAACCCTCTACAGTGTCGCCCCAAACAGCAAAAGTAAACGTTGGATTAATTCAGTTCTTCAGTCAGATAGTTGTCCATCTTTCTTACTGTCTTCAATTTTTGTTTTGTTTTATTCTTTTTTGACAGATATTGTTTGTTGCCAAAGCAATCATTCACTAAACAATCTTGTTCACACTGAGGCAACCTAAAATGAGAGGATTGTTGCTTTATTTGCCATACGCTACCTAGTGTATTGAGTTCTGAAGGAAATGGGATTTCTCTTTTGAATGATAGTCTCATCTCAGAAAAAATTGTTTGAAAAAAAATGTCTTTGTCTTATTTCTAGAGTACAAATTAATATCCGGTATAAAATCAATCTTACTCCTCAACAAATCGTTTATTTACATGACATTTCAATGCTTTTAATTGATTTTATTCTTAGATTGCCTCCACGCTCATAATTTTAATAGAAATTACAAACATCATTGTCAATTTAAAGCCGGTGAAAACAACAGCAGTGCATGTAGAAAATTGTGTTTTGCGTCGTAATTGTTTTGCCGACGGTTAAAAACAAATGTTGAAATAATAACGAAGAAGCTGCATTATGTAAAAAAGCCCATTTTAAAAAACAGACGATAAAATAATTGACGATGATAAGAACGTGTAAAATTGATTATTAAGATATAGCCCGTTTCGGCCGAAAACCAAATAAAAATGTAAGAATGAAGACCAACGTTATCGCAATAGCCGATACGAACAAAGTCATATGCAAACCAATTTGCCAATGCAAACTTTAAGCGAAAACCACCAAGGCTTAATCAAGCGCAAGAGAGACGAGTGACCAAGTGGAGATAAGTTTAAGTTTGCATCTCTCTGATTGGTTGAGGAGGCAATGCTAGTTACATTGACCAATCATTGAGAATGTCAGCAAAAGCAATTCAGTCCTGAAGAAAACTTGTTTCTCGATTGCAAAGTAAAGCACTCAGGCAGGCCATACATGCATCAAGAGATTCTATTCATTTATTTTAAACAATGCATTTCAATATTTCTGACATGAACCTCTCTAGTGAAGACTTTAATTTAAAAATCAACATCCAAGCTGTAAACGAGCTAAGGCACACCCTGGCCATCGGCGTTATTAATTTAATTCTCAGCACCACTGCCCTGTTCGAAAACGCAGTGATTCTAATCACAATTTGGAAGACATCTTCTTTGCATTCAGCCTCGTATATATTACTGTAAAGTCTCGCCGTATCAGACCTTGCTGTTGGTTTAGTTTTACGTCCCCCTTTCGCGATTTTTTTGTTATTGAGAACGGTAAGTCGTGTACTTCTTCGAAATATGGCTTTCTTTTTACCTCGGTGTCTTTACTCAACATCCCAGCAATTTCAGTGGATCGTTTATTGGCACCGGCTTCAGTTCCATTTGAGGTACCAAGCAGTAGTGACAACTTTCCGCGTAAAATTGGTTCTGTTTTTTTATTTGGGTGTTCTCTGCTGTTACTTCTTTCCCTCTCACAAGAATAAGACAGTATAACTACTACATGTACGTTCCTCCTGCGATTCACGTGTGCCTTCTCGTTCTTAACTTTATTGCGTATTTCAAAATCTATCTCATCGTTCGACGTCATAAAAGACAGATTCAACTTCAACACCATCTCTACCAACAACAAAATCAGCCAAGCAATGGAAATCTTTTCATTGAAGGACGGTTCAAGAAATCTGCAGTGAACTCATTCCTTGTGTATATTTTTCTTCTGGTTTGTTATCTTCCTTTTTCGGCTCAATTAGGAATTAGATTTCTTAATCTCGATTTACGCCAAGGCTCGCTGACATTTTTTAACTTGACAGCCACATTAGTTTTTTTCAATTCGACCCTTAACCCTGTATTGTATTGTTGGCGAGATCGTCAGATTCGCACAGCTTAGAAACAACAACTGTTCAGCTACTTAAACGGATGTAATTTTGTGACAACTAGAAAATAAACGCCGTTCCTCCACCCAGACATCGGCTCTGGAAAGCTTATAGTAATCTTTCAAAACCGGGGCCCGTTTCTTGAAGGTCCCGGTAACTTAACGGACCCGTAAAGCTGTTATGTTTTCATTCAAGATGGGGATTTCAAAAGTTTTGAAAATGATACAGTAAGACTATCAGCCAAAGAAACAAAAAGGACTGGTTTAGGTGCCAGAACCTGCTTCCCTATTCTTTAAATTTTGATTTCAAAACATGGCTTCGGGCCCATTAAGTTACCGGGAGTTTCGAGAAACGGGCCCCAGATCTTGTCCTCAAGAGAATTACTTCTCTTTTCAAGTTTGTTTCAGAATCTTTGTTGTTTTTTCTCTTATGCGCTAAAAACAGTAACAATGACTAGTACACTTAACTCTTTGGAGAGTCCCCATGAACAGTAATACATTTGAAAAAACACTAAGACACATTAACTAGGGAAAAAAGATATAAGCAATGCAGTGCTTGGGAAAGAATTATTATGTTTTAAAAGAAAAATATGCCAAAAACTAGGGTTTCATCCATTACCGAAATGTTTATTTATTTTTTTGTTAGACGCCACTTTTTTTTTTCTTCTCTTCATTTTTTGTTTTCAATCCGTTATTCTGCACCGTTATTTTGCTCAGAATAGCAAGTGTGGCTTTTAAATTGACTTAACCATAACTTGACCCCTGCAACCAGCTGTTTTCCTCAATTATATATGGTTTTATGAAAATTAGCATTTAAAGTTAATTTAAGACGCTTAAAAGATATCGGTTGAATAAATTTTTGACCCTACAGCACGGATACA